TGGTGGAGTTGGGGTATGCTCCATTGGAAGGTTATTGCAGATAAGAGAAGAAGGAGCTTCCACTTGTGGACACTTGATGGGAATCGTAGATCTACGAGTATTGAGTGGTATTGGACCCATACCTTCAAACTAATTAATATATTATTTTTGACGGTGATGGCCCACTCCAAGTTACACCCTGCCCTACCTTTAATCTACCATCATTTGTGCATGAAGGCCACAAAATCTTCTTCCCGCGGAGAATCCATTTTGTAGGACCTTACCCACTAGGTCACTCATTTTTCATATGTCCTACTACTACTTTCTTCCAAAGAGAATGAAACGAAAATTTAGAACAAAATAAATAAATAAAGGAGTTGTGGATAAATAATAATAATTAGGATTTTAATTTCACAACCAAATTGTGGGAATATTAATGTAAGTAAATAGGTACGAGGGTTGATTGGATAAACTTTTTCATAAGTATTTTTAAGAGAGAAAATAAAATATAATGTTAAAATTAATTTATGCATAAATTAACTTGTAAAAACTCTCATATTACTTTCTTCAAAAACTTATTTTAAATTTATATATATATATATATATATGTGTGTGTGTTGATCTTAGTTTATGACAAAAATATATATTTTTCTTTCATAAGTGTTTTTAAAGAAATTTATGCAAACAAACGTATTGTTATTAAACAAAATATTTATTATTACATGTATGTTTTGGATAGAGTAAAATGTTGGAATCACCCAATCAATCTTCACGTTGAAAATCCTTTTAACCTTGAATTCAACTATTTACAAAATTGACCTACATTAAAAGTGATCTTCCAAAGTTGGCATTCACAAATCGACTTGTTGATTTGTACATCACTGTATGTTCCGTGTAACCATAACAAAATGTCATATAAGTCATGTGTACTGTAATGATATTAGGATTAACACTTTAATCCGTTATATTTTATCTAATCAGTTTAGTCAAATATCTTTTGGTTATCTTCTTAACTGTTTTCTGTTTTCAAGCTAACTCTAGCTTTTGTATTTAAACAATAAGGATTGTACATTGTTGGTAGGTTGATCAATAATAATCTGAAATTTTCTTCTTCATGATTTCTGTATTCTGATATGTTGATAGTGAAGTTTTCCCTTTCATGATTTCTGCTGATATGCTAACAAATGACTTAACGACTTCTTCTTTTTTATTTATCAAAGCTATTAAAAGAAGTGACCATTTTAATTCTCATTTTTCACTCAACCTTGTCTCTTATTGACCGAAACATTGAAGTCTTTATAAGTGATCATGTTAAGAAACTGGTGGAGGAGATGTTTATTGTTTCTCTTTTACTAGCTTCATTAAAGCTCCCAATCTTCATCTTTGGAACTCAAACCTCAAAGAAGCTTCAAAAGTGATGGAGAGATTAGAGATGATGTGCACCACTTCAAAGTGAAGATGAGTAAAGAAGAGAGAACTTGTCACAATGAAAAATTCTTTGATAAAAGTTCATAAGGAGATAATTCTCCTTAGAACTAAAGCTTTTGAGACATAAAATTGAAACTCAATTTTATTCATCAAATCCAAAAGTGACACATACTAATATGTTGGGATACAAACAAGTCCCACATCGATAAAATAAAAATAACAAATAACAACTTATATAATACAAACATACTTCAATGATCAAGAGGCCTTTTGGGTGATGACCAAAAGCAAAACCGTGAAGGCTAAGGCCCAAAGCGGACAATATCTCATCATTGTGGAGTATGTTTGTGTAATAACCTTATAAAAATAATTCATAAAATATCCTCTCAGACAAATACCATAAAAATAACCCCATCAGTGGTATCAGAGCCGCAGGTTGGATTCGGTGACAACCAATAACCCTATAACCCCTCATAACTCAAAATATAATGTGCCATATAAAGACAGATTCCGCTGCATGAAAGGTTAGGTCCCTTGTTTGAGAGGAGGATTGTTGGGATTCAAACAAGTCCCACATCGATAAAATAATACAACAAATAACAACTTATATAATACAAACATACTTCAATGATTGAGAGGCCTTTTGGGTGATGACCAAAAGCAAAACGTGAGGGCTAAGGCCCAAAGCAGACAATATCTCATCATTGTGAAGTATGTTTGTGTAATAACCTTATAAAAATAATTCATAAAATATCCTCTCAGACAAATACCATAAAAATACCCCATCATAATACTATGGAGAGAGATCCTATTTATAGAATTTGATAGCTTGTGGTACAAGTTAAACTAACAAAGGTTACATGTAACCCAGGCTAGGTTAATTTACATTCAAAACTATTAACTTTAGTTACAATTTCAAATTCGAATTTCTCTTCTAAAAATGACATTATCCTATACCTATAAGAGCTAATAAAAGTTTGCTACATGGCAAGGCACAAAAGGTGTGACTCATGTTAACATCATAAATCTTTAAGAGTCTATAGAGATTTACCACATGACAATGTACTAAAAGTACGATTAGATAAGATCATGTAACTTGTTGGACACGTGAATGGACCATGAAATAATTTGTCTCCCTTAAGTAGATGTCCAACACACATGGAATCCTCCTTAAATGGACATCACACTCACATGGACCATGTATCCAAGAGGTGCTCTCATGGGCCAATCAAACCTAATAAGCTCATATGTCATTTCTAATTATACCCCCTTAAAATATTATATGCACCCCTAAAATTAAAGAATTACAAAAAAAATAAATTCCTAGACTAATTAACCCAAAATACAATGTCAAAATTAAGAGAATATTTACAAGAAAAAATATACCCCAAGAAGGAATAGACTAAGTAATGAATCAATAACTTAAAAAAAATCTTTGACATTCTACTTTCATTATGAGCATATTCCTCTTACATCTTCCTTGACAATGTCCTTAAAATAGAACCCTTGAAAGGAAATAATATTTCATCACCAATATTAGATATTTTATTGCAATTATACTTAAACCTTCCTTTGTTGTGTTTAGTTGTCAAAAATTGCCTTGAAATATACCTTTATAAGTAGCAACACCATTATTATAACTTCCTAAATAGTATTATTACCATCACAATAATTATCATATAATAACAGCTATTGATATTACTATTTTATCGTCATCATATTATTACCATCATTTAACATTATCATTGATATTTCTATTATAATTACTTCCATCATTACATTAGGGATCACTATTACAATTTTCATACCATTATTATTGTTTTCTCCTTTCTTTTTTTCAACCATACCATTATCTCTATTACCAAACAACTTGATTTAAGAAATTAATATTAATATTTTTTTTGTAAAAAAAATAATAAAACTTCTCCCCTAAATTGGTACAAAATAAGAAGATAATGATATCTCATTTTTCATTTTTTAATTTCTCAAAAATTAAATTTCACAATAGAAAAATTAAAAATTGAATGAATATAAAAAATTATATAATTTTTTTTAATCTTTCCACTATTTATTCATCCAAAATAAATTATTATACTTTTCTTTTCATTCATATAACATTTTTTTTTATTATGTTTCTCTCCTTCTTACTCTACCACTACCCTTTATTTCACTCTTAAATCTTAATCCATAAGAAACATTTTTTTAATTAGCATACAAAACATGTATATTGTAACTGATATATCCTAATATGGTATTATAGCCCTAGTGCTGTATCCACGTGGACATTACTACTTACTGCCTCCCGCTGCATGCCACATTCAAACTCATTTTGTAATTTTTCTGATTTCTTTCGTCTTTTATGGCCTTTTGATTCAGTGATACATCAAATATCTATTTGCTGTTTTGGTTCCTAATGTTCAAATCAATGGTGCTTCTCTCACTTCGACTTTATTCAAATTGCTCAAGTTGATGCAATTTTTTTTTTTTCGGTTGCTATTCTTCTTTTGCCTTCTCACTTTTCAACTTCCTTCATTTCTTTTTCTTCCAATTTCTCTATGCCATAACCATTATCCCTCTCCCCACTTTTGATCTAAACACGCATTAATATAGGTGTGATTATGATTTAGTGTAGAAAATTGAATTATTGAACTGAACAAGAAAACAGTTATTCACAAATTGAATCAAACTGAAAACAGTTTATTTGAACCAAATTAAATTGGTTTGAGGTTGTTATATAAACTTCAACTGTTCCTGTACTCTAAACCAAATCAAATTGAAAATAATAATAATAATAATAATAATAAAGTTCAGAAGAATAACGAATATACCATCAATTTAGTTTTTAAAGTATTAGCTTTCTTTCTTAAGTAATTTTTAAAATAAAGAAAATACATAAATAGTTTCTAAAATATTAGAAATTATGTTATATAACTTCTCAAGTATCATAAAAAGTAAAAATCTTCAAATTAATTACTCAATGTTAGTAAATTATCTCAGTATAAGATTAAATTAATATTTTTTCATTAAATGATTATTCATATAATTTATTGCTTTAAGAATTATTTAGAAGAAATAGTAATAGTTGAGAAACTAAATTGAAGATTTAATGGAAGAATACCTAAACCTCTCACTATTAAACTAAAATGAAAAAAAAAATTATGGTGAGGATACCCTTATGCACCAATTTTAAACGTGAAAGGCATAAAAATGGCGGAGGGATACATATATACCGTTGGAGATAATCCAATTTTTAACTCCGGATTTAATTTAGCTAACAAACATATTTTGAAAAATCGTAATTATCGGTGTGAAGACATAAAAACAAGGCAGAAGTTGAATGAGATGCAAGAGCAGAACAGCATCATGATGACACTATCAGTACAAAACTACCATATTTGAGGGCTGCCGTAGTATTGTCTCCGTTGGTTGCCTACTCTGGAATCACCACAAAAAGGGAAAAGAGGGGAAAAAAAAAGAAGCAATGTTGTAAAAGAAAGAAAAAAGGGCAATAAGGTAAAAGAAGCAGCTGGTGTGGGGACAGAAGAAACACAAAACTGCAAATAAACCAGCAACAAAGTGGTATACCCTCCCAAGCCCCAACATTATTAGCACAAACAACCATTTCAAAGAGACAGACAGGGACACACATGTCATTATCACAAATCTCAACCCCATTTCTGCAATTCCCTTCAACCTTCCCCCACTTCTAACACTTGCACCACCCACCTACTCAAAGTGCTTCAGCAAGCACCAACACTCCCAACTTACTATCTTTCCTTAACAAAACTCAAGAAAAATAAAAACCCTTCACTCTCTGCACCCAAAGTTGCTACCTTTCCTCAAATGGGGACCCGAATTCCTTCGCACCAGCTCAGCAGCGGCCTCTACGTGTCGGGTCGACCCGAACAGCTCAAAGAGCGCTCGCCGACAATGACGTCACGCTCCGTTCCGTACACCGGCGGCGACCCCAAGAAATCCGGCGAGCTCGGCAAAATGTTGGAAATTCCCGGCGTCGATTCCAAGCCGTCGCGTCCGTCTTCTTCCTCTCAGCACAGCAGCGGGCCGGTGAGATCCGGGCCCAACTCGGGCCCGGCGGGGAGGCTAAGTGGGTCGGGGCCCATGTCGCGGAGGTCATCCGGGTCGGGCCCGATTGCGTTGCAGCCCACGGGCCTGATAACTTCGGGCCCGGTCGGGAGCCGGCGGGCGGGGCCG